CTGGACATACGGACAGAGTCACTGGTCAATCTGACCAGAAGAGGATATGGTAAAAATTTGTTCTCGATAAACTATCCTCCATTTCGAGTGAATGCCAAGATATGCTGGCCATTACGGTGATATGAACGTAATGATATCAAAGCAGAAGTGATTCATCGAAGTTATGAAGAAAAATTGGGTTCCGAAGAATGCCTTATTGATACATTTTGACATGACCTTCCATTTCGGAAGGAACAATTGGTTGGAAAAAATTCGTGATTTGTTGTCACCGGAAATCAACGGAGGACCGTTGAATTGTGCCAAGAAGTCCTCGGCTCATCGTCCTGCGACTCCGAGGAAACTGTACCAAGCTTTCGTCTGCACCGCCGTGACAGATGTCAATATCATCAGAGCAAAAAGCCATACTTTACAGAATGGATCAAATATATACACAACTTCGCGATCTTGATGAGTTCTCCCATGATTTATTTGGCTACTTCAACCTTACTCTGCATGCTTGCAAATGGGTTAAGTTATTTGCAGAACCGAAAGTGCGTTCATTTGCAAGCTTGAGGAGTAAGGTTGTAGTAGCCAACCAAATCATGGGATGCCTCATTAAAATCGCGAATTTGGGTGTATAAAGGTTGCAGCTGGCCAGCTTTTCTTTTGATTTGGTATATTTTTGCTCTATTTTGTAAAGTTTGGCTTCCTGCTCTGATGATGTCTGTCACGGCAAAACAGACGAAAGCCTAGTACAGTTTCATCGGAGTCGTAGAACGATGAGTCGAGAACTTCTTTGCACAATCCTCTTTCGGTTTCCGATGAGACCACATCACAACTTCATTCCAACCAACTTTTTCGTTAAAGGAATTAAGAGTAATCATTGTCAGGAGTGATGACACTGTTATATTTCAACCATGTGTTCGCCTATAAATGTCTTAATTCACAAAGTTGATTATAACATCATGTAAATGATTATCATCTGAGGTGCTCAACATTCAGTTTGCTTTCGTTTGTAGATCAAACACGAGAACGGGCTCCTTACACTTGCCATTTTTCCGAGACTTCAGGCCGTAGTGGCTGCCGGGAATCCGCTGTTTCGATGCTTTGTCGGAATGCCGCCACGACTGCAACGATTGCTCGTTGACCGATTTGGAATCAAGATCACTCGGACCGCAGTCGTGGGTCAAGCTGGAAAAGAGGCCGATAATGAGAGCCCACCTTTGGCTTCAAAACATAGAAAACTGGTTGAAAAGCGTGTACCAATGAGCCGGACGTGTAAAGCTAATTTCCATAATGAGTCGTCAGTTGGAAGGTCAGTTTAGTGCCTGTTTTAAATCATCATTTTGCTGAATAATAGTTAGAATTTGTAGACTATTAGTCTATTCAAAGATCAGTTATTCATGATAAAATGAGTAGTAAACTTGATTATATAATTAAATAATTGAAATTTTTTTTTCAATAATTTGCTCATCCAGTTTTAGCATCTATTAGGTCTATTTCAGCTATCCTTAAGGATAGTGTGCATGTCCAGAAGCAGAAATTACTCACCCTTAGTTGTTTATAGCTGGTAAATAACTGATAATTGAGGTTTTGCCAAAATGGTATGGTTAAGCCTCATAATGCCATTGATTTTCACTCAACCATACCCCCATATCGTCCATCAGCCAAGATGGACGGTAATTTAGACCTGGCCCTCCAACAAGATTTCATACACAATTGTCAACATCTTGTAGATGTGGTCACTCTGCTGCCTAGCAACGGGCCATATGGGTTAAAGAACCCCACCAGTTAATAGTTATGGTGAGGCCGCCATTACAATCAATGTCGTCACTTATTTATGTTGTCAATCGGTTTAGAGAAAATCGATAATTCTTCAATAGTACCAACTCATAATGAAAATGAATAAAGTCGTCAATTGCAAATATATATTTGCTTCAGCGATAATTCCGCCATAATTGTGATTTGGGAAAGGTTCACCTACAAGGACTCGATGAGATTATGGATACGAAGACCAAGATGGTGAAGCCTTCTGTTTGGTCGTAGTCTCGATGAGATCATCTGTCTTCGCCGGAGATTTTTTATTGAAATACAAAGTCACAGAATATGCTATTCCTGGGGGAAAAAACTATAGTTTTAGCATCTTTGAGGTCTGAGGCCTGCGTTTAGCGGGCTTCGAACCTAGGACCTTTAAGCTTAAAGGCATATAAGTTATCGCAATGGTTGGGCAATTATAATTGATGCATTAAAAAATCTGAAATAAGAATAAATCTTTTTCGAATAAGACTGTTGGAAAAAATTTCACATGAGTGTATGCGTGTCAGTTTGTTTGTGCGTTAATGACTATACACAATACCTGTTCTAAATCAGGTAAAA